ACGGTAAGCAGAGATAAGCAATCTGATTGGTTGATGCTTTGGGGCATGATAACTTTGAGAGAGATGAAACTCCGAATATAGATTCATTATATCATTACCTTGACTAAGTTCGATGGTGAAAATTTTCTGCTAAGGCTAAGGAGCAATAAGCAATTTAATTGATTGGTCAAGACTTTGGAACATAATAACTCTGCTTTTAATTGAGGTAGAATGTTTAAACTTGATGTAGATGTTCATTAGGTGAATGTCTTGACTAAGTTCAATGATTAACATTTCGAGCTGAAGCCAAGCAGAGCTTATCAGTTTCATAATCTTGATTCTATTTGATAGACAGTGATGAAACTTAGTCTATAGTTTAACTGTTCGATACTTTTGAAAAAAATAAATGTTCTATTAATTAATACGTGTCATCTAATTATTTTGCTATTTCGGCGGGGGACATCAGCCTCACTGTTGGCTTGTTTCACTTATCGATATATCGATGATGTTCTATCACTGAATAATCCTAAATTTAGTGATTATGTAGAATTCATATACATGTATCCTGATGAGCTCGAAATTAAAAACACTACTGACGGTGACAATTACGCTTCTTACTTGGATTTGCGTCTTGATTATGACAATTGCCATAAACTTAGTGTTAAATTGTACGATAAACGTGATGACTTTGACTTTATGATTGTTAACTTTCCATTTATTAGTAGTAACATTCCAATATCACCAGCTTATGGAGTGTTTGTGTCTCAACTAATTCGTTACGCGAGAGCTTGTTCATTTTATTCTGATTTAAGTAGATCGAGGCATTTGTCATCTAAGCTTCAACTACAGGGATACTTGCGAACTAAACTTAAAACCTTTAAAAAGTTTTATGGCCGTCATATTGACTCGATTGGTAAATATAACATATCTCTCTCGGCTATTATTCTAGATATATTTAATTAATACTGTTCATCACATGCATTTTGCATACCGATAGTCCATTGGCCAATCACGCTATTTTACCGAGATTTCGGCTAATATTTTGGATGCAGCTAAGGCAGGTGTGGCGCCAGGCAGGGTAAGCTTACTCTTCCGGACACCTGTTACCACTGTTTGTCGTATATTTTGTACACGGTGAACAGTTCATATGCTGATTACACTATTTTGCCTTATTACACTATTTTGCCTATACCGTTTTTTTTAGGACTTCGAATTTTATCTAATGGTTTGGATTGTTCGTACTTGGTTTTATTTTATTATTACCGTATATCCTACACACATTTCTAAAAATTAATGACATAAAATTATAAAAGGATAAAATTTACCATATACACATTTCTAAAAGGTGTCTTATTATCACCTTAACCTCCTACAAAACTCGTATTAATAACTTTGCGAAAATCTCACAATTGAACGAGCCGTTAATTTTAGTTTGTTTTTTTTCAGGAAAAACTATACCTACAACCCTAGATTTAAATACAAGTTAAATAACCATAATCTTGAAAACTGGATTAAGGGTCTCAAAATTATATTAGCTCTACTTAGCTAAACACATGTATGGACGACACAAAAACACAAATTGTAGCAACTTAAACTTTTATTCAAAAGCTAAATCACATAATTTAGTCTTTAATGCACTAAAACCATAATTTTGAAACTTGGACTAAGAGTCTCAAAATTATATTAGCTCTAATTATGTAACCACATATATCGAAACAACGGATTCAGTAGAAAATCAGCCAAAACAGATTATGAGTTAACCTACCCCCTAGACCCACTTTAATATAATTTTACTACAGGTCATGTTAACCTGATAATACGCATACCTAACTAATGATATTATAAATCTGTCTATCAAAACTTATGAATGACCATATTTTATTCTCTATACAGTTACATTTAAAACTCTTATTATATTTAATCTTATATTACTATTACGTGGTCTGTTAACCAAGTCATATTCAATCTTCCAGAAAAAATGTATTTACCCAATTTTGCGAATATTTCTACCAAAAATATTTCTTCCACCAGATCTCTGTAAGTTTTTCCACCAGATTACTTTTTCCACTAGAATTTTTTCTGTTGCTGATTTGTACGGGTTTTCTTCTTCCAGATTTTCTTTTAGAGTACTCGATCTTGTAGTCACGTACACCAAATCAAATATGTAGCACCATGGGCCTTTCTGTCAGACGTGGAGATCGGGGAACCAAATCCGGCCACCGCATCCTACGTACAACCCATGCATCTTCTCTTGCTATATATCTTAGTAGCCTTGTGATCATCTAGTATTTTCACTTATTGTCTTTGCACCCCCTTCACGTTGTGTATTTACTTCTTAGTTAAGACGTTTGTCTTTATATGAATAACAATGCAACTGTTCGTTTTTACATTTTATATACCATAGCCGGATACATAGATACAAACATAGTACAATAACAGTAATTCTCTCAAACCTCATCCAGCCAGAATCTATCTGCTGTCTGACAAATTCTCAGAAGTATGATAGTTTTGTAGCTTTGGGCTTTGGACCTTCAATTATCTAATTGGTCAAATATGATGTAAATAATTAGAGCGATTGGTTAATTGAGCCAAACGATGTCGAAACCCACACTTCTATGGTTAGTGGAAATTTACTGGAGAAATTTCCCACAAGATATCTGTTATCAACCTAGAATTGAATGTTTACCACATTATGACCTTTTTTTATGTAACAACATGCCACTCATTCGCTAACTTCATTTAACAACATGCCACTCATTCGCTAACTTCATTTAAGTACATATATGTGAATCTAATAACTTGCCAAAGATATTAATTAATACAATATAATGCCATCATTAATTTCAATAGCAAAATTTTTAGCAATATTGCTACACTAGCTTATATGTTTTAATTTCCGATTAGGCTGTGCTTTTAATTGAGGTAGAATGTTTAAACTTGATGTAGATGTTCATTAGCTGAATGTCTTTACTGGGTTCAATGATTAACATTTCCTACTAGAGCTAAGCAGAGTTAAGCATTTTCATTGGTCGATGCTTTGGGACAAGATAACTTGATTGTAACTGATGGTGGGTGATGAAACTTAGTGAATAGTTGATAATCAGTTTGATTGCTCGATACTTTCGAAAAATATAAATGTGCATTTAATTAATATGTGTCATCTATTTATTTTGGGATTTCGGCGGGGGACCTCAGCCTCACTGTTGACTTATTTGTATAAAATTACGTTTTCTAAATTCAAAAGTATTATTCCCGAGAATAATATCGATAGCTTTCAGCTTAAATTGTTTTGAAAAACGTTGATTTAGAAGTAGAGGTAATCTATCCATCCAATAAATCACTGTCCCTTTAGTAAGATAGTATTATAGAGACTATACAGACATCTAATGTTGCATACAAATATTTCCTCATCGTTTATTTCCTGAGGAAGTTTTTTGAGAAGGTCAAGTATAGTTGATAATCAGTTTGATTGCTCGATACTTTCGAAAAAGATAAATCTGCATTTAATTAATGTGTCATCTATTTATTTTGGGATTTCGGCGGGGGACCTCAGCCTCACTGTTGACTTGTTTGTATAAAATTACGTTTTCTAAATTTGAAAGTATTATTCCTGAGAATAATATCGATAGATTTCAGCTTAAATTGTTTTGAAAAACGTTGACTTAGAAGTAGAGGTAATCTATCCATCCAATAAATGACTGTCCCTATAGTAAGATATTATTATAGAGACTATAGACATCTAATGTTGCATACAAATATTTCCTCATCGTTTATTTCCTGAGGAAGTTTTTTGAGAAGGTCAATGTCACCCTTTATATATGATTTAACTCTAGGGACATCAATTAAATAAGATAATCTGTTTGTAGCACACGTCATACCGGCTATAACTGTACAAAAAAAAGTTCCTTTGAACCACTCCTAGAGAAATATATATAAAATTACGTTGAAAAAAGAATAAACACATGTTTCTGGCTAACGTTTTCAGTTCTCTTGAACCTCTTAAGGCCATATTAATATAATATAATGTAATATAAGACCATAACGTTACGTCAGAGCATAGTTGAAATGATATGAAATGGGTTTAACGTCCTACTGTTCTGCTCCTATACTGGGCTAATGAAGACGAGCATCCGCCATACAGTGTGCTATGAGGGAAATTTTGCCCGGGCAGCGGCACTATGGCCTACTCTTATATCGAATTCCAACTGCCAAGGGATCGTTTATGTGCACTCCAATGTATACACGGGACCCCGGTTCTTCGTCCCATCCGAACGACTTCGTTTTTAAATTTTGAAATATACATAAATATCGTGTAACTTCATTTAGTCTGCCTCGAAACATGTCTGGCGCAATATAGATCGGTCATACTTCGTTTTTAAATTTTGAGAGAGAGAGAAATGAGGTTTAACGTCCACTTGACACAAACTAGGTCATTTCGGGACTAACACATGGTTCAATTTTATTTCAATAATTCGGGAGAAAACCCACGAGGCTGGACAGGCGACCCTACTCCTTGTCACGTACAACCGGGGAATCGAAACCCCGCCAGTTGACTCAATGACAGACCGTATGATAGCGCGCATGTGCTAACCATTCAGCCATCTAACCCCCTTTTAAATTTTGAAATATACATATATATATCGTGTAATTTCATTTAGTCTGTCTGGAAACATTCACCATATGTTTGGCGCAATATGGCCCGGTTGGTGCTGACGTGCCATAAAACCACATTTCATTTGAAGATTCTTTGGTCCATTCAGAGAGGTCAGCCTTGTTGAACGTGTTTTATATTTCAACAAAGTGTATATAATCTCATTGGCTTCAAGCAAATATCACTTTTATGTACTCTTAAAAGTTTTGAAGTGGTCCTATGACAATTGTCACCCATGGAGTGTTAATACATTTTAGTATATCATGCGCAGCAGTAACTCCTGCTGGATTTTTCGAAAATCCTTCAAAATCACTGCATATCTGCTTTTTACGAAATCTGATTTACTTATATTAATGTTATTTTTGTACAGGGCGACGATAAAGATCAGCAATGTTACAAATACGTCATTAAATCTACCGGTGAAGCATTTGGGATTAACACTAGAAAAATCAAACACAGTTATCCCCGGAAAGCGTGCTCTGGTGAAAGTGTAGTGGTAGATGTCAAGAAACCCACCCCACATTGGAACGATACAGAAGGATATGGAATCGTATTCAAAAGTGGATCTGAGGGTTATGTTATATCCACAAGGAAAGATACATATGATACAGACAATTTAAGTTTTAAGTTTACTGATGATGATGGGCGTGAGCAATTGGTTACTGACTATGCCTTTGTCTTAAAATGCAAGTTAAACAATATGATTGTTTATCACATACCAAACTTGATAATGGGCAGTCTTCAAACTGGTCCAACAGTTGTTGATATAGACACTGGTAAAATATATGGATACCGCGCAGGAGTGGTTCAGGGTCAAGACAATGAACATTTCATCGTTTACTCTAATATGAAAAATTTACCTGATGCCAGCAAATGTAAGATAATATTTCAGGATAACTCAACCGTATCATGTTGTAGAATAACAAAACATACAATTGCAGAGTGTAGCAGTTTACTGATGAAGACTGCTGACATACCAGCCTCTATCAAACTGATTACTGTTGAACAGTGGATGAAACAGTTGAACAGAACACAGGTAGTTTGAATTGAATAATAATTTGTATTTCTTTTCATGTAAATATGGGGACTGGTAATCGTAACACGAGCGTAGTCGTTTGTGCCATACATACCTTTTTCACGCTTTTTGTCTTTTCGTTAACACAAGGTTTTGGGATTATAGACATGTACTGTTAATATAATATATCCCAATCACCCGCTTAAGAGATATTCATATCTTAGTTAAACCGATGTGGTGGAGCGCGTACATTTATGATGAATTTATACATAGGGTTATTATTGGCAACCGAACCACATAATTTTGTACTGAAAATACGCATATAAGCCAAACAACCCTAACAAATTGGTAATATACCTATCGGAAATCATTAGGGTTCTGTCTATGAATACGACAGACAACCAATTTGATTTTTTAAACAGATGGACTAAGACTATTAATTCTCTCCACATTTTGACATCGGTGGTCTATAAAATTTTTTGAACATTCTAATGATCTTAATTTTTATGATCACGTGTACATGTCACAATCATCCAAAAACGGTTTAATAAGCATGGGCAAAGAAATCTATAGGAAATAACGTCATTTTAGTGGGCAATTTCCCTGAGTCTGTTTACTTTCTCGTCATCTAAACCATAAATATCCACTGACACAAAATGTAAATTCAACCAGCCTTTCCGATTCTAGACCAAAAAGTCAACAAAAATGCCATGCAAACTATCCACTCAACATTTCAACGTAACCAACATCTTAACTCTGTTGACCTATCATGAATATTCAAATTCTTCGTCGATTCTACATCATCAAGTGAAAAGCAAAAAATCGAAATTCAATTTAAGGAATTTGATAATATTTGGTCTTTTATTAGATTTTTTTTATTTCGTACTGTTTTCTAGGTACAAACCGAAACTAAAGAAGAAGAAAACAGAACAGTCAAACCTTTTGAGAGCAAAATGCAGTCTGGTCGCGGAAGTTATCAAGGAATCCTTTCAAAAGACGAATATAACAAGATTCGAGATAATTTTGTATTTATTATCGATCACTTAAATTGTGATCCAATGTGTGTAGCAAATGCTCTATTTGAAAAATATAGCTTCGATGAGGCTGATATGGAGCAAATTGAAAAGGCAGAGAAAGGCTGTGGTGGTAATAAACGAGCCGCTGCTTTGAAAAAGCTGGATATAGCTTTAGGGTGTGGTTACACTGGTTATGGTAAACCACATGAACCAGGTTAGTTTACATTGTATAATACACTTTGAACAGATTGGATAAAATCGTGCACAGACAAACATCACAACGGTATGCCCTATTTGTGCTGATCCACAGAACTGTTGCCCTTGTTTGTGCCCTATTCATGCTTGATCAGTTGGATTCAGTGTTGGATGCATGACTTGCATCATAACAGTATGCCTCGGTTTTATTTTTTTTTATTATTATTATCTTAGTGTTGGGGAATCAATAAATTGTTTATTATGATTACTGATTTTGGGTATGGTTCGATTGACTGTTTAACCATTTGATATTTGTAAAGTATATACGAATACAAACCACCTATTTGACTGCCCAACAGTAATTTATTACAATATTTGTTGTTAGGTTATCAACGCTATCGAGATGACGAACCTGGTACTACTACACATGGAGGATTATTTACAGGGTTGCAGGTATGTATAGAATGGTATTTATATCACATTCTAAAAATGTTACCTCATCTGTTGGATACCAAACCTTGATTAAGGTGGTATTGCACCATAGTGATTTGTGGTGGCAAGCCTTGAAATAACTGATTTTTGGCCGGACATTTCAGATTTTCAGCCTGACAAATACTTTATAAAGTATATTAAACCAAAAAACTGTTGAAATTTACTATGTTTATATATATTATTATACATACATTTATTAATAAAATAAATTGATGACTCACATACAACCTGGAGTTTTAAGTTTTTATATGTATATGGAATACAACTTTATAGTTCATATAATAATGTCATTAATCTCTTTGGTGGGGCTGGGGACTAAATCCTAAAAACTCTGATTAAGATTCAAATTTAACTAAAGAATAGACATCTTGAGTTGTCGTAAATGGTTCAGAATCTGCCAAGTCATTTTTGATCCACTTTTCTACGGTTCGTGTTTGTAATTTTCGAACTGGTGATGGCGACGGCCCCCGTTTAGAAGTGTCTTTATGAGAGACATAAGATTAAGACACAGTACCAGTCTTTGAATTTTCTGGAACGGTCCCACTAGCCGGGATATCCGTTTCCGAGGGTTGGGAAAAGTAAGAAGTTATTTTATTCGACATGTTTTCACGGCTCTTCTATTTACATTCACATTGGAAGTGTCCAACAAAGAGAGATATTTTCGTATAAAAAGTCTGTCCCTAATTACATCCATAGTCAACTTGGACATTTTCTTGTAAACTAATTTTAAAATATTATTACTTTTATTACTAATAATTTATATAAATACATGTCATGTTAGGTGTGATTTAGAGCTAATCATATACGAAAGTAACGCAAAGCTAGCTACGAGACTCGAATAACCAGTGTAAAAGAGCCGATTCTCAATATTATTCATTATTTTATCTTCACGCGGCCGAGAGAGATACATGTATAAATAGTAATATTTTTACTATGACTCGGGTCGTTGATATAACCAGCGTAAAAGAGTCGATTCTAAAAATTATTGAAGATTTTATCTGCACGCGGCCGAGATATAAATAGTAACATTTTCACTATGACTCGGGTCATTGATATTTTTGGTTCTGGACTTTCGAGTCTAATAATAAATAGCGATCGACTCGAATATACGGTCGGACAATTATGTCCGGACGAAAGGCAATTTGGCCTGTCAAAAGGGGTCAATTCGCCCGGACATTGTCCGTGTCCGAACGCTTATTTCAGCGCTTGTGTGGTGGAGGGTTCTGCTACTAGATCACATTTTTGTTTTTTTGCAAGGTATTCTTGTAAAGTTCTTGCCACTGAACAAGTTACAAGGGTTAGATGTTGCTGTCACAAACTAGCAATTGAAACGGGTCGGTGATAAAATATTGATAGAGATAAAAGAATATGTCTGTATTGTAATTCCACTTTTAGAAATAGTACTGTAGCGAATGAAATTCACTTTATATTGGAATGTCCACTTTATTCTAGTCTTAGAAGAAATTTTGATATTAAACAGAAGTCTTATAATTGTATGACGTCATATATTCAAACCATTAATAACCCATCTATTTATTTAGCTGAATATATTGATAAGGGTACGAGACTAAGGAAACAGTATTTAGATAATTTAAACTAAATCCTAATTACAGTAAGTATACTGAATCAAACACAGTCCCTATGTAGGTTACGATTTTGTGAACTTTATTGTATGATTTCCTGTAACTATGTTATAATCAATATACTTATAATTATGTCTATTGAATATTGCCACATGCACTTAAATAATAAAAAAAGAATAAGTGATAAATAGTAGAACTGGTCTGGTTAGAATAAATGATAAATAATAGAAGTCATGTCTGGTTAAATATGTGGATTTCCGATTTCTCCAATAATAAACAGTTGATAGTAAACGTCCAGTATAGTCAGGAATTATGATTTCAAAATAAGCTTGACAATATAGAGAATTGTTCAAATGAATTCCGTCTGTCTACGTCAGTGGTTCCAAACCTTTTGTTGGTTTGGGACCACATTCCAGAAACCAGCATTTATTATTGTTTTACTTATTTGACAACTTACTTGAATCAAGTGGCGTGGCTTGGAGCCCAGACTTTACGGGACAATGAATTGAGTCGCCTGTCCAACCTTTTAGGTTTTCTCCGGGTTCTCCGGCGAGAGAGAGAGAAATAGAGTTTAACGTCGACTCGACACAAACTAGGTCATTTCGGGACTAACATGCTTCAATTTTATTTTATAATTTGCTTGCACGTATGGGTCTTTAGAAGTGGGAGAATGAATGAATGAAAGAAATGTGGTTTTATGGCACGTCAGCACAACCGGGATATATTGCGCCAAACATATGATGAGTTACACAAGACAAACTAAATAATAATCACAATAGTAATCTATATATACTATTCCAAAAAAGTAGGGGATATTTGATTTTGGGGGCATAATACTAAAATATGCAAATGACTACGAAAAAAGTCACTATAGAACCTAACAGAAGAAACATTTCCAGTTACATGTGACGCCCAAACGCACCAATAGCTACCACATGGAATGCAGGTGATGCTTGGGATCATCATGGGGGTCCAACCCAAGATTTGCACGACTCTGACTTTGAATGTTACAGTCATTGTGGCATTGAATTCCAGGGTGGAAACATCAGTTTAATTGTTTTAGTGACCAGAAAACAAATTTTGATATGCGTCGGCTTACCCAAAATGAAAGGTTACGTGCCCTTGGCATGCTACAGATCAGCACAACACAGGCGGTTGTGGCTCGGACGATGAATGTTTCTCAGTCTGTCATAAGCAGGCTATGGTCCAGATACCGTGATACACAATCTGTACAGGACAGACCACGCTCAGGTCGACCAAGGGCGACAACTCAAGCCCAGGATCGATTTATCCATACCTTGGCCTTGAGAAATCGTGTCATCACAGCAAATCAGATCAGCGCTCGTCTTCAAACAGACACTGGTGTGAGAGTGAGTGGCCAGACGATTCGTAATCGACTGCATAGGGGTCACCTTAGCGCCCGACGTCCTCGCGTGATCCCTTGTTTGAGAGATCATCACATTCAGGCAAGACGTCGTTGGTGTAGGGATCGTCAACACTGGGATAATCGACGCTGGAGCAATGTGATGTTTTCAGATGAGTCAAGGTTTACTGTTGATTTTTTGGACAGACGTAGGAGGGTGTGGCGTCGTCGAAACGAGCGCTTCCAAGACGTTAACGTCATCAGACATGATCGATTTGGGGGTGGTTCTGTTATGGTGTGGGGAGGCATCACTGTTGCTGGAAGAACGGCTTTACATGTTGTTGCAGGGCGTGTTACAGGCCAGTACTACCGGGACAACATCTTGGCAGTCCATGTTGTGTCGTTCGCACAACGTCATGGCCGCCGTTTCATCTTCCAGGATGACAACGCAAGATGTCACAGGGCCAGGATCGTTACAGGTTACCTCCAACAACAGAACATCACCACATTACCTTGGCCAGCACTGAGTCCCGACCTCTCCCCCATCGAGCATGTCTGGGACATTCTTGGACAGAGGTTACGTCAACGTCAACAACGTCCTGCCAATGTCCAAGAACTTGCTGCTGCGTTGCAACAGGAAAGGGATAATCTGGACCAAAATGACCGTAGACGTCTCATTAGGAGTATGCCACGTCGGATCAATGCTTGTTTGGCAAACAGAGGAGGATTTACCCGTTACTGACTTGGTTGTGATGCTGTGGTAACTTTGCTGTTTGACCCCGGGTATCATTTTACCCTTATAATGGTCAGTCTGTGCCTTACTTAGTCTAACGATCATTTGGAATAAATCGATGAATGTGAACTTCATTTCATTTTGTCATTTGTTTCTTCGTCAGTTTCATTAGGTGACTTTAATAACACTTAAAAATCAAATATCCCCTACTTTTTTTGAATAGTATATACTGTATACATAAATAAAAACAAATATCACAGAGATTATCAATTTAAAAACAATTATCACAACAATTAAAATACAACAAATGAAAATTACAAATATATAATTAAAATTGTGTAAAAATTTGTCTCTTTTAAAAAGTCTAGGAATCTACAATATAGACCCGGTTGGGCAAATAATTGATATAAGTAGGTGTCACAGCTCCATTGCCGGCGTTGGAAGAAAGTCATTTTTTCCCGATTTTTAACCCTATTTCAACTTAACGTCATACGGTGGCTATTTAATATTTTGTAATAATTTTAAAATATTTTGGAAGCCGATATCCTGTTCTTTTGCTTGGTCTAATTTTTATATATGTGTTCATTTTATTAATTTCATAAACGTAAGTTGAAAAACGTCAATTTTCCGTGTTTTGTCGTTACGCTGATTTTTTTTGTCACGTTTTGAAATGAGGGTACCCCACTTCAAGTGCTCGGCGGCGGTTCCTATTTTTAATATTATTTTTTCATTTTAATATCATTAGAAAGGTAATTGAACGAGCGCTTCCAAGACGTTAACGTCATCAGACATGATCGATTTGGGGGTGGTTCTGTTATGGTGTGGGGAGGCATCACTGTTGCTGGAAGAACGGCTTTACATGTTGTTGCAGGGCGTGTTACAGGCCAGTACTACCGGGACAACATCTTGGCAGTCCATGTTGTGTCGTTCGCACAACGTCATGGCCGCCGTTTCATCTTCCAGGATGACAACGCAAGATGTCACAGGGCCAGGATCGTTACAGGTTACCTCCAACAACAGAACATCACCACATTACCTTGGCCAGCACTGAGTCCCGACCTCTCCCCCATCGAGCATGTCTGGGACATTCTTGGACAGAGGTTACGTCAACGTCAACAACGTCCTGCCAATGTCCAAGAACTTGCTGCTGCGTTGCAACAGGAAAGGGATAATCTGGACCAAAATGACCTTAGACGTCTCATTAGGAGTATGCCACGTCGGATCAATGCTTGTTTGGCAAACAGAGGAGGATTTACCCGTTACTGACTTGGTTGTGATGCTG